GCACGGGTAAACGATACTGGCGCCAATGATGCGGATGATGATTCCGATGATGACGAAGGGGAAGTTGAAGAATGGAACCTGCGGCGTGTGTCCGCCCTGACGCTTGATTCCATCGCTGAGTATTATGGTGAAAGGATTATTTTTACGGTTTTAACTGTAATTGAGGGTATGATGCAACCAAACAACTCATGGAAGGAGCTGGAAGCCGCTATATTGGCTCTGGGGGCTATCATGGATGGCTGTTTTGACTCCATGACGCCGTATCTGCCTGAAATAAGTACGCGTCTACTTCAGTTGCTTGGGGACCCCTCTGTGCACTTCCTTGTTTGGAATATTTCACTTTGGACGATGACGCAGATTGGAAAGCATATTGTTTCCGTGCCGGAGAAATTGAAAGGCTTTATAACGTGCGTTCTTCAGAAGATGGAAAGTCCCTCGAAGCTTGTGCAGGAGGGTGCCACAGCGGCACTGCAGAAGACCATTGTTCTTTGTGACGAAGGACAGCTTGACAATGAAATTCCTTTCATAATTGACTGCATGGCAAGGTGTCTGCGCGGGTATCAACTCAAGAATCGTGTGTTGCTGCTTGAAACTCTGGAAACATTCTGTGAGGCGATGGGAGAACAACTGCGCGTTAGGCCGGACTCTGTGGAACTGCTGATGGCACCCCTCGGTGAGATTTGGGGCAGCACTCCCAACGATAGCCCGCTTCTTTTCTCCTTGTTCAAATGCATCTCTGGTGTCTGCAGGGCAATTGGTGCAGCTGTGCAGCCGGAGTTGGCTAAAAACCTTTTCGAACGCTCTTACTGTTTACTTGTCATGCATGTGCAGGCACGCACTGAAGCTCGACGGACGAATCAAGATCCACCGGAGTATGAGTTTCTTGTGACAGCTGCAGATCTTTTATCCGGGCTATTTGATGCACTTGGCACTGGTTTGGGACCACTCGTCATGCAGTGCCATCCGCCACTTGTTTCCACAGTGCTGGAGGCTCTCCGAGACGAAAATGCAGAGGTGCGTCAGAGTGGCTTTTCACTTCTTGGCGACTTGTCAAAGGTCTGTCCTGTCACCGTGCAGGGCGAACTGGAACGTGTGGTGAAGGCGGCATTGGAAAACCTGGCGGTTCTAGATGAAAACACATATGGTGTCATTAGCAATATCGGGTGGTGTATGTGCAATTTATTAGAGAATCAAATGGATATTGATAATTTGTCCACGCTGGACGCAGCGAACGGAATGCCACAGCTGTTTGCGGCGATGGCCCGTATTCTTGGAACCGTCTCCCACGCGGCTGATATGCGCAACATGGCGGAGAACTTGTGTATCTGTCTTGGCCTGATGCTCTACGCCGATCCCGGGGTGGAGTCTCAGTCCGGCTGCCAAGTCTCCCTTTTTGCCGACGCGTTTTGTTCGTACATGCGGAATGTGAAGGATGTGCCTCACAAGGAGCAGGCGGTGAGCGGCTTTTTGATGGCCGTGCGGCAACAGTTACCGTTTGTGGTGCTTCGCCTCCATCTCTTTTTTGACCTCGCCCTCTCGCTTGCGTCGTGTCGTGCCGACGTCAAGCGGGCGATGGGGGAGTTGCTGCAGGCGGCGAGGGCACACGCTGGCGCCCGGTGGACGCAGCAAATGGCAGAGTACAGCGAGCAGCTCCGAACACGTCTCTACCACGTCTACGGCATCCAGTGAGACGGCTGGAGGCAGACGCACAAACGCAACAGGGGATGAATCGAATAAATGAGGAGGACAAAAAATCGAAAAAAAAAAAAAAAAGAAGATAATTTGTTTTATCCAAATAAAATAAAAAAATCCGCACAAAACATATGGAAGAAAACGGAAAAACAAAAAGGCCGAGGTGCATGCAAGAAGGCAGAGAGGGAGAGAGGTGTGTGTGTGTGTTTGTGTGTGCGGTGCCAGAGCAGTAAAAAAGAATTTCTGTAAGAGGATAAAAGGGAGCGAAAAAAGGCTTTGGGATGAAGAGTTGTAATGAATGAGAGGAGCCGCAGAGGAGCAACGAGAATGCTTCAGGATGACTTAAAATATTTTTTTTTGACTTGTGGGGGATGTGTCTGCGCAGGCGTGATGCTGTCCGTCAGCTTGGCTCTTTCTCTTTTTGCCGTTTTTTTTTTTTTTTTGGTGTTTGTGTGTCTTTTTTTAATTACTTTGTTTGCGCCATCAATTCTTCATGACAAGATCGCTTAGGGGGGAGAGAGAGGGGGAGTGAACGGGGGTGTGTCCTCAGAGGCGTGGGGGGCCGCCACCCAATGGCCCGTGACCGCATGGCCGAGTTCATCTCCCTGGTTCCGCACCGTGGGCGGGGGGTGGCCTCGCACGGCAACATCCACGGCGGCAACGGCAATAACGGCTGCGAGGGAACTGAACGCAGCGCCATGTGGCTGCCAATTGACGATGAAACGCGACCCATTTTCACGTCACTTTCTAAAATACGGCAGCAGGTGGAGGCACTGGAGGCGCTGCACGTAGAGCAACTGGTGGAGATGTGCGCAAGGAAGCGGGAGGCCGTACACGATGCGGTGGAAAAGATTTGTTCCGAGTGCCACTCCTCTCGGGAAATGATTCACAAGTACAATCGCGCCACCAAGCAGCTGGCAGAGGGAGTAAACACCAACCGTCGGCCCATAAACACGGCGGAGCTGCGTATGCGACAGAACATTGCCATGTTTATGGAGTGTCAACTGATGCAAAATGTACGCAACATGTGGATGGAACGGAAGGCTCAAGAAGAACGTTTGGTTGATGCTACTGCAAGGCGTCTCAAGGCGCGTTTTGGGGTTGTTGAGAATAGCGTTGATGAGAATTTCAATCGGGGTGAGATGACTGTTGAACACTCCCTTGAGATTGCGCGACGGCTTGTGGCGACAGGCAATGAGGATCGGTCGTTTTCCCTGGCACGGGATGAACTGGAGCGGGTGACGCGCACACGAGATGCTGTATTGGAGCTTGAGCAGGATATGCAGGATCTCCTGCAACTTTTTAGTGATCTGCAACTTCTTTTGCAAGGACAGCATGAGCAGCTTATATTGATTCAGCAGAATGTCGAGGAGAGTTGTCAGAATCTTGTGGCTTCTGCAGAACATCTTCAGGCGGCAAAGCAACACAAGAAAAAATCTTGCTGTGTGCTCCAGTAGTATTGGTGGGGGATGCTTGTTTAATGTAATGTCGGTATTGAAAATGACAAAATAATACCATGAACTTCAGTGCAAGTGTGTGTGTGTGTGTGTTAGTGGTGCGAGTTGGGGGTGCTATTCGCCACTTTAGCCGCCTGTGCTCTGTGAGTGAGGAAAGACGGGAGGCGAATAGGTGGAGGGAGAAGTACGTATTGGAGGAGTGAGGGAAAAAAGACCCTTTTTTTATGCTGGCAATAAATAATTTGGTTTTGTACTTTTGTATCGATCGTGTTTGAAAAGGCTGACGCTCTGTGGGAGGCGAAGAGAGCCACGCACTTTTTCTCTATATTTTTATTCAGGCGCATTGCTGCTTGCGTACACACTGTGGTTGCGGTTCCCACGTCCGAAGTGAAGGTAACCGCTGCTGCTACTATTGCTGTTGGCTTCATTGTTCCCATGTTCCTTTGGACTCTCCGTCTCTTGCAGTGGACCGTGCGGAGAGGGGGGAGAAGTGCCCGTCAAAAGAGGGTGACTTTTTGTGCCTGCGTGTCACACTTTTTTATCTATCGTCTTATTTTATTTTTATCTTTTTAACCTTTCATGATACGAATGGATCGGTCTGTGTGCGTACGTATAAACACACCGATAGGGATAAGGATAGAGATAGGGAGGGAGAGAGTTGGAAAGGCAAGCAAATGACGTCTGACATAACTTTTATTACGCGGCAAAATTTTACCGAAGTTTTTCCTCACTTTGTGAGGGATCTTAGCGAGGCAAACTTTACGGCCGTCGATCTTGAGTTTACCGGCATTGACCGCGAGTCCAATTCCGATTTTCTTAGGCTGCCCGAGGAGGCTTTTTTGCAGAAGATGGCAGCAGCACGTCTGTTTAGTCCATTGCAGATTGGATTTAGTATGTTTCGCGGTGATACCGACCTGGAAGGCAACTCCGGTGGGAATACGCCGGGCGCGGGCGTCAATTCTCAATCTTACCGCGACGCAATGGGCTGGGAAGCAAAATCCTTTTGTCCTTGTGGATTGATGGGACCGATGCTCAAGCAGATAATTGAGTCGTGGGTTTCCAAGGGACAGGTGGACCCCAATGAAGTGGCGGAGCTCGAAAAGAGACGGCGGGAGGCGGAGAATATCTGCGGGAGCGTTGCAGAATCCAATTCCGTCTACGAACGGTTGCGTGCGCACCAAACACTGAATGAGATCAACACAGTTATTGCAATGGCGCAGCGGTGGAAGGGATACGCTGAGAGGAAGAAGCGGCACGTAGCTGTCCGTAACTACTCTTGCTACTTGTTTCCCGCTCCAGAGAAGGACGAGGGGGATCGAACGGTCACAATATCCTCAGAAACGGCGGTGTTCTTGTTGAAGAACGCCATGGACCTTAACAGATGGGTGACGGAAGGCCTGTTTTTTGTGTCCTTTGACGAGTACGCCAAGGCACAGCAGGGAGCCTTGTGCATTCCGTTTGCTGCGGACCGCTTGATTGAACAGGGGGGAAGAGTAGCGGCCTTGTATAGGTGGATAAATGCATTGCCGCTCACTGAGCTAAGAGTCCAGCTTTCTGCGGTGCTCAAAAACATTCTTTCTTTTCTGAAGCAGGCCGAAGTGGGGGACTCCGTGGAGCTGAACATTCCGTTTATGAAGGCACCGTGGTTTGCGGAATTTGAAAATCACATGCGAGTGTTGGGGCTGCACTTTTCGCGGAGGACGATTACAAGGGTCCCATCATCAGGTGATGAAGGCGTGCCCATTGAGAAGGACCCTCGTTACTTTGGCACACGTCTGCTGGAGGCACTTGTGACGGCGACGCGATGCTGGAAAAAGATTCTGGTGATACACAATGGTCTCTCCGACTTGGCATTTCTCTGTGCCGCCATGCACCAGCCGCCGCCGGAGACACTGGGCGAATTTAAACGTACAATTCGAGAGATGTTTCCGTTTTTTTTTGACACACGGACGTTGACGTGTGCTCCCTCCTTGCAGAACATTGGCATATTAACGGCAACACTCAAGAAAACTTATTTTACTCTCCTAAAGAGAAACAAGAGGATTCAGCTTCATTGCCCCTCATCGTTTGAGGTGGCGGAGCAGAGTGAGATGAAGGAGCATGACGCTGTCATTGACGCGTTCATGACGGGATCGCTTTTTTTGTTTGCACAGGAGGAACTCGCCCAGGTGGGCTCGAATTTTCGACGACTGCGCGGCATCACTCCCATTTATGGCTGCGTGTTTAGTGTGAACTTTGAGGATGAGGCCGCCGATTGCATCGTGCACCCTCCTTCTGCCCCCATCTATTTGGTACAACGCCCCTCCCACATGTCTCTGAACATGGAGACACTGCGGAGCAAACTGTCTGCCGTGGCGGAGGGTGTTGCCTTCATATTCAATGGTGATTATTGCCTTGTAAAAATTTGCGACAAAACAGTTAAAAAGGAGGTCAAGGAACATATTGAGGTCGTGATCAGGCAATGGTGTGAAAGCCTCAGTATGGGGTTCAAACCCCTGGATGTGGCATCGTGCGTCCGCGCTCATAACATCAGTTACGTGAGTGAAATGGAGGGGCCTCTGTTGGTTCCTCATTAGCCGTTGTTGACTTGTTGGCTTGCTTCTTTTTTCCCCGTTTTTTTTTTCTTTTTTTTTTTTTTTTTTTTGAGGGGAATGGCGCTTTATATTTATTTTATTTTTTGAGAAAGAACTTTTGAAAGTGATTTTAGGCATAAATATTTTTTTATCTTTATTGCGCCGTCTGCAGGCGTTTGACTGGCGATTGGTGATCCCTGGAACATGACGACAGGAGAGAAGGAAACACGAAGGGAAAAAGAGAGAGAGAGGGAGGATGTGTCTGTGGGGGTGTAACAGGGCGTTGAAGGGGAGGCGGCGCGGGTGTGTGTGTTTGTGTTTTTCTGTATTGTGGGCGTCTTCACGTGCTGTTGCTTTGGCTGATGGGCTGCGTTTGGTTTCTCGATCGTCATGACACCGCGGCGCTGCCTTTTTTTGGGGGGTGTGTGGCGGTGGCCAATTTGAGTTCGTCGGGCGTCTTTTCTATTTCCCGCTGTTTCTTCCTTTTTTCCCTCCCCGCATGCACTCAGAGGAGTGTTACTTTGTGGAGCAAAACACGCCAACGAAGACGACGATGACCTTAAATAACAAACAGAATGGCCATAAAGAAAATGCATGCACCGCGTACCCCTTTAAGGTGAAGCGCGAGATGTATCGCGAGCAGAGACAGCGTCTTGCAGCCGCGTTGCGTTCAAGCAAAGATGCGACGCATGCAGCATTTCTTCAGGGTGGGTCGGAGGTTCCGGTGAACTCGTCGGATATCAACTACCTCTTTTGGCAGGAGAGTTACTTTGCGTACCTGTTTGGCTGCGATATTCCTGACAGTTTTGGTGCTGTTCTCGCCGATGGCAAGGGCCTTCTTTTCATCCCTCGCTACCCCATTTCCTACGCCGTCTGGATGGGTGAGTTGCCCACTCCAGAGACCGTGAAGCTTGCCACAGGATTGGAAGAAGTGTATTACGCCGACGAGATTGAAGCTGCGCTCACCTCAAAAGGTGTACAAACCGTTGAAGTCTTGGATGGTGTAAACTCGGACAGTGGTCTTCACGTTCTCACGGCAAAGCTGCCAGAAGGGTCCAAGGTGAAGATCTCTAACAAATGGCTATTTGGCGTACTTACCCAACAGCGTTGCCACAAGACAGACCTCGAGGCGGAGCTTTTGCAGTATGTGTGCAGAGTCTCTAGCGAGGCACATATTCATGTAATGCAACACTGCAAACCTGGTATGTCGCAACATCACCTTGAATCCACCTTTTTGCACTATGTATATTACCACGGTGGCTGTCGCAAAGTGGCATACACCTGCATCTGTGGCACCGGTCACCATGGGGCTGTTCTGCACTATCCGAACAATGATGCCCCCATTGAGGACGGGTCAATGGCACTTCTTGATATGGGTGGCCATTACATGGGCTATGCAAGCGATATTACATGCTCCTTTCCCGTTAATGGTAAGTTTACTGAAGATCAACGAATAATCTACAATGCTGTGCTGGACGCCCATGACTCCGTAATGAGGCAGTTGAAACCAGGCGTGAACTGGGTCGACATGCACAAACTGGCTCTGCGTGTGATGTGCGAACACCTTGTGCGGGCCGGTATTCTTTTGGGGGATTTGGATACCATTATGAGAAAACGTGTTATGGGTCTTTTTCAACCGGGTGAGATTGCACTTGTTGCGAAGGTGTGCAAGCAAAGGCTTTTTTTTGG